GGTAGGAATGGGGGATTGACTGTATCTTGTATTTTAATATTGTTAGCTACCCCGATTGTTCTCAGAGGGGCGGGGTATAAATAAATAAATATTATTATTATTATTATTATTATTATTATCATCCCATGGGTGAGAAATCTCCAATACTCCTTGTCTTCCACTGCTCTGCTTAGGTCCTGTAAATTCATGCCCATGAGCTCCTTAATAGATGGGATGGGATTTAGATCTTTTTTAATTATGTGTATGTCCCACCTTTCCTCCAAAGAGCTCAATAGAGGAGTTGTGGTCCCTGTCCCATTTGTTTCCATGAGCTAGGCTAGGCTGAGAGACAAGGGAGGGAATGTGACTAGCCCAAACATTATCCACTTTTATATCTGAGGAGGAATTTGAACTTTCTAGCTCCCCCTCTTGCTATTTGTTGTTGCTGTTGTTGTTGTTAACTGCCCTCAAGCTGATCTCAACTCATGGCAACCATGTGGATGAGACATCTCCAAGACCCCCTGTCCTCCACTGCTCTGCTTGGTTCCTGTAAACTCATAGCCATGATCTCCTTAATAAAATCCATCCAGCTAGCATGCTATCTTCATTTCTTTCTACTTTCCTCCACATTTCCTGGCATTATTGTCTTTTCCAGTGAGTCATTCCTTCTCATGACGTGATCAAAGTATGACAACCTCAGCTTTATCATCTTGGCACCTGCTTAAACTGTAAATGAGCCATCCAGGTTTGAATGTTGGATTGAGAGTACTGGAGACCAGGATTAAAGTTGTACTAACATGGCAAGGGCAATCCTCTTTCTATGACTGAGCAGGGGTTTGAACCCTGGTCTCCAGAATTGTTGTCCAGTGCTTAAACCACTGCACCATGCTGGCTATCTCTTCCTCATTTTGTCTACCCCACTTTTCTCCTGAGATGGGATTGAAGGTAGCTATCAACTTTTGCCATCTTGACCACACCCTGAGATTGCTTGGCCACACGCACCCCAATTTTCACCTCTGAAATATTGGAGGGCATGCAAATCCCTCTAAGCCATGGCCACCCGCTGGGTGACTTTGGTTAAGGTGTACTCTCTCAGCCTCAAAGGAAGGCAATGGTAACCTTCCTTGGAATAAATTGTGTTAAGAAAACTCTAGGATAGGATTGCCATAAGTCAAAATTGACTTGAAGGCACATAACAACAAACTTCAGACCACAGGATATCATAGAATGCAGTCATGGCAGTTAAGAGGGATTCCTAATTCTATAATTGGTTAATGAGGGAGGACCCCAGGAGTTGGGCAAGGCTGAATAAAATGATATTGTATTGTCCTTTGGATTTTTAAAATGCCTGGAAACTAAAAAAAAGCTTGTTATCTCTTTTTCTTGCTGGGACAGGGTGGCAACAGAGAGGAATCAACTAAAACCAAGATTTCAAAAAGTAAATTCATCTTTGGGCATGATTTTTGTTTATTGTTTGGTTTCAAGAAAGCTGGCAGTGCCATCAGACTTGATTGCCAGCCAAGCCATGGCCCCAGTGTGGCAAGCTGACCTCTTGGGAAAAAGCATGTGGTGCTGTGTGGATGAAAAAGTAAGACAGGACATGGTTTGCAGCCACCGGCACATGTAGCAAAAAGCCTGATTGGAAGAATGCAAAATGTGGATGGTGGAAGCAGAGATGAGTGGGGAGAGCTTGCTTTCATGCTGAAAGAAAGGCAAGGCAAGAAACGCTTCCTCCCTCCAACCCCCGGCAACTACAGTGACTTCAGAAAAGCAAAAACAGCACAGAACGATGCCTCCCATCACAGCCTCAGGATAGAGAAGAGAAGAAAGACCCCCATGCATTGTTGCAACAGTACAGTAAACTTTCGAGTATTGAGGCCCATCCTTGCTGTTTGGGGGATGAGACGAGGGAAGAGGAGGTTGATGAGGAGGAGTTCATGCGGTGCCATTGGTGCCTCCATCCATGCCTCGCAGAGCTGCCCTCTTGCCCCTGCCCTGGCCAAAAGCGGATGTTAAGACACAGAAAAGGGGTGGGTGGGGATGAGCCAGCAGGTTGAGTTGGAAAAGCATGGGGCTGAGCAAGAGAAGCACCTTTTTTTGCCATCAGGCCTATGGTAGAAATGCATCATCCCTCTGCACTAGCAGCTCAGGGGTGGTGAGGACAGAAAAAAGGAAATGCTAGAGGGAAACGGGACATTTCTCTCCTATCTTTCCACTACAAGCATAAAGTGACTTAACAGTAGTATGACAGAAAATCCTCACCACCCTTTCCAAACTACAGTTCCTGACTTGCTCAAGGGTTCTGCTGTTTGGGTCTACCTCAGTTGTTGTCTGAAATTTAGGCTTGTGTTTCCAAGCCACGGTGGGACTTCACTGCTGAGCTAATATCCCCTTCCCTATGCAAGGACAAGCGTTTAAATCTAATCACTATATAAAAGCCAAAGGCTTGGTTGCTCAGGAGCATGGCCAAGAAATGAAAGACCAAGCCAGGGCTATGGGGATGATGGAGTGGGGCATTGAAAGACAGGAGTTACCTCGTTTCTCAGTGGATTTTTAGTAGCTTCAGGAATACAAAGTAAAATGCCCTGCCAGAACTCACCTCCAAGGTTGTAGCTACAGGGGAGCCAAGGGATGAGGGCACTGACCCTTCAAATATGAATTATGATCCCCCAATGAAATGTTCCTTCATCCCTCAAATTCCTAGCAATGCAGTGTGAGACACTGATCATCCTTAACATCTAGAACTCATATATTTGTTGTGGTCTTGTTCCCTTGGTGAACTGTGCCTGTCCCTTTTCTTTCAGTCCTCAAATTGTGTTCCTAAATGCTCAAAAGCATGTTTAAATCACTGCAGTGCTAGAAATTTGGGAACTGAAGGAAAATTTAATTGAGGACAGAATTCTAATGGGGGGCATACAAGCTTGATTTGCCTCCCCCCACCAGCCGCACCCCTTATGTCTAGCTTCAAATTTCACTAAAGTAGCAGATTTTGGGCAACAAGCTGCTAGTTATAATAGTTTTACTGTTAGGGTTGGGGAGAAGTACTGGTGGGTTTTTCTTTCTCAGATGTCAAAAGAACTTGGCTGGTTTGGGCTTCTCTGTGTCTTCCCTTGGGTGGGCTGGTGGGAACTCCATTTCCTATTCCACCTCAGACAGCAAAATGTCTTGGGTCTATCCCATAGTCTGAAATTTGGAGTGCTGCTGGAAAGGTCAACCCTCCCCACAACTGGATTCACCAGGAAAAGGAGGCAGTTTTAGCTCCTTTTCAGGAATTCAAAAGTATTTCTGAATGTGTGCTTCATGCAAATGAATGAGGGAAATAAATATACAGTACATCCTCCATTTTAAAATGACAATTAACCAATGGTGGCTACACCTATAAAAGTGTGTGGGACAGTACTAAATGTCCACTTGCAGGAGCTATTGCATTTCCCTCATTACTGACCCCAGTATTGTAAGTAGAACTGGTTAATATGAACTATTTCCATTTTTCAGGACCCTGATGGTGATGTTCCTAAGAGATTGGATCCTTCAAGGGAATTTTAAGGAATGTGAACCTGTTAGATCCATACTTGGATTCTGGTTAAGGATCATGCTGGATTTTCTGACCAACTTTCTAAGTACATTATTTTGAGTATGAGGGAGTTCTGGATTTTAGATCTATATTCTTCCTAGAGTTAAGTGACCCAAATGTTTGGCAAGACCCTCTACAAGCTTTCAAAGTATAATTTCCAGAGGGAAACCATCTTATAAAATGGACACTGCCAATACAGCAAGTATATTAAATGCTTCTCTGTAGGACTCCATAGTAGACATTATGGAAAATCTTGACCTTGCCTGGAGAAGAGATTCTAGCTGAAGGGTATTCTAAATGAGTTGAACGTTGGTTGGTTGTTTCATTTCTTACTTCCCCAATTTACTTTGGTGGTAAGGGTTCCTGGGAAGGCAGATTGCATTTGATAGTTGCATGTGATGCTAAAGTTCCCATGAGTAAGCAGAAAGCAGCAATGATGGGATGGGGATGGGTGAAAAGAGAATAAGGAAAGGAAACTGGAAGCAGGGAGCATTTTTGCTGGTTTATTGTTTGCTCTGTTTTTCTTTCTTTTTTTTTAACACTACAGGCAATTCCCGGCTGACTTCAAGATGGCTCCATCCATGGTATCTTGCCAGCTGCAAAGGGAAAAGAATAGGGGAGGGACATTTGGATGGGGAAAGTGCATGGGACAGGGGCTAAGAGAGGGAATTCATTTCAGGCTCCAATGAGAAAAAGTTCTGAATAAGCTAGTAAATGTGGGCCAGAAACAAGAATTGTGTCTGTGCCCAACTGTAAACCAAATGTACATATTTGCTCTTTCTTAGAATTCAGTGTGTCTCTGTTTTGTATACAGAAGGAACATTTGATCGTCCAGGAATTTTGGCCTACAACTCATACATTAGTAAGCCAATAGACTCAAGGGCCAATACTCAAGAACCAGTGTGGTGTAGTGGTTTGAGTATTCAACTAGGACTTTGGAGACCAGGATCCAAATACCGTCTTGGTCAGGGAAAACCACTGGGTGACCTTAGGCAAATCATATGCTCTTAGCCTAAGAGGAAGGCAAAGGCAAATCTCCTTTGAATAACTCTTGCCAAGAAAACCCCATGGCAGGTTTCTCTTATTGCTGTCATAATGCAAAATGACTTGATGACATGCAACAACTACCACTACCACTGGCCATGTTAATTAAGGATTCTGGGACTTAGAGTCCAAAACATCTGGACAGCCAAAAGTTCCCTATTCCCATAGTAGTAGTTCTCTTAAGTATAAACTTGCCCTCCCTGTGAACAGTTGCTTACAGAGTTGTTTCTCCTTGATCTAACCATATCCTAATGACCCCATGTTAATTAATCCAAAGTGAATGGTGAATGGTCATTCTCCTGATTCAGATTAACAGAATTTTCACTTTATTTATAAGTACTCCATTTACCAACATGGGAAAAAACCCATCCTTTTTAACCACTCCTTGACCTTCCTGAGTCTGAGATCCCATATGGCTGCACAAAGCATAAGAGTTCTGCATGTGGCTGAGAGCATGTGGATTGCCCAAGGTCACCCAGTGGATCTCATGGCTGAGCTGGGAATTAAACCCTGATCTCCAGAGTCATAGTCCAACAATCAAACCATTACACCAAGCTGGTTCTCAAGATGGATTTACCCTTGTGTATCTTACTAACGGGAGCCTGGCCAGAGTGTGCACTTGCAGTAGTTAGATGAACTATACGTATCCTCAATTTCCAGATAGCTGAAGCAGCTGATATTCTAGACATGTCAATGACTATAGTCTCTTTATTCTTTCTACATGTGCCTGATTGCTCTCGCAAGCCTTTGGTCAGTTTGATTTTTACAACAAAATACATCTCCAAAAATGTGACTAGCACTGGTGCAGTAGACATTTGCCTCCTCTTCAGGGCAAACATAACTGAATTATTAAGTGTCATTCCTGTGCTATCCACAGGGTTCAGGGTGCAGGGCAGCTGACACTATGTTGAAAACATATACAGACAGAGTTGTGAAATGATTTTAATTAATGAAAATGTAATTTTAAAACTTGAGTTTAAAGTTTAGTCCAGACCTAGCAACAATGAAATTCCTGCAAAGGAGGTTTTATCAACTGTAAGGGGAAAGGATCTGAAAAATGCTAATTTGGTAAGCACAGAAGGGTGTTTCCAGCAAAACAACCCCACACAAGGAAGCAGGGAGTGCACAACTGGTTGGATTTAGGTGTAAACTCTCTATGTGCATCTGTATTCAGATGAGATACTCATCTGGGTTCCATTGGATCATCTGTACTCTTAAGACTATGTCAAGCAGAACTTACAACTGGCAAAACATGCATTTCTGGCATGCAGATTC